CCCCCCCCCCCCCCCCCCCCTCGTCGTATAACCAATGATGCACTTGCATTGGGATGGGGTAGTGGGAGAGGGGGGAAAAGAGCGAAAGATAGAAAGAGCTGTGGGGTGTTTCTTATTCGACACACTCCCCCCGTAACCCCTCGTTTCTTATGTAGTAGGGCAGCGGTCGCCGCTGTTTCTTGTTGAGACATTTCTTATTGTGTGACCCAGCGTGAGCCATGTTTCTCAACCATATCTTCAAATTTTTCGTGGAAAAATGAGCCTTTATTTCTCAAAAAGATATTTCTTCATTGCGGGCGCTAACTGCTGTGGCGCTATGCACCAGGCCAGGAGCGGAAGCGAGAGAAAAACTCACTTTGCAAGAAAAGCTCGCTTACGCCGGGATTCGAACCCCTGACCTCACCTACCTCTAACAGGTTTCGAGGATAACAATTAGACCAGCGGGGCGACCGGTACTGTTGTTGAGCGTTTAAAAGCGGCCTATCAAGGGGCTGTGGTATCTTGTGTCACCTACGGTATGCACATGTTACGACGACATCAATGAGGAACGACCTTGAGCTCTCGGCGGGATGCGGTGCAAGTCGTTCGTTGGTGGCACCCGGAGGTGGACTGTTAACTATCTTTCTCTGGACTCCACAAAATCATCGTCGTCGAGAATTATTACAGTAACAACGTCGTCTTCGTTCGTTCTTCGTTTGAACCAAGACAAAAGAACGAAATGAAAATATTATTTGAGTGGCATAGTCTAAGCAGGTTCCAATAAGCGGGGTTCAAACCGATGGCGAATCTACCCATCTCATGAGAATCTGGCTGATCACGTAAGCGTAGCAAAACATGTTACATTTGGAAGTTAAAGACAAACACGTCCCGTCCTCTATCCAGTCTGTTGTTAGCCCCCTCCCCTTTGCCTACTCTTCAAACAAAAGGCGAAGTGAAACCGATTCCCACCGACCCACTTCCGGCATAAAAACAATCAACCCGACCGATGCATTATGCCCCAATAAAACACTCAACCAACCACAACATACAAGTTCGTTGAAAAATCAACCCCAGAAAAAACAGGCAGTAGACTATGCTGCACGCTTTATTATCACCTCTATCTATGCATAGAACACGTGCAATTGCGTGCACTCCGACGGACAAGTAACTACCGGTGTGTGTGTGGGGGGAGGTGCTGCTTCCGTCACGCAATCAGACTCTCTTCCCGATGCCCGAACCAAACGACCTGTACACCTACGTGTGATCGTGTCGCATGGTATCATGAAACTAGCCTTCATCTGGAAGGCCCCCCTCCCACCCACCCCCGCTCACGCGGCACTCCCTACCTCCACCGTGTGCGTCGAATCCCTTAGACTGCACCTAATGCTACTGTGATAAACGGAGCCCGTGATGCCAGCCGTGAAGAGGTGGGTGCTGAGTGCGGGAAACACCGCTCCACAGCACGTAGTAACCCTCTCCACCTGACCGTACTCTTTGCTCACTATACTTGACACGTTAAAATTAGCCTCATCTCTCGGACCGTGGTCACAACAACGCAGGCAAACCTCGGTGTAATTATGATACAGTTGTCGCCGTGACTCACAATAAAGCTCATACAACCTATATTTCGTGAACTACATGGACTCTCCTTGGAACCCGCTACTGCTCTGGCCAAAAACCAACCCAACCCAATTTATCATCGACGCCTAGCGACGAGTCGCTTGGGTGAGGAGTTCAGCCTTGTAAATCCGCCCAAACAAACTAGTGTTCCGCAACCAAAGAGCGCCTTTTCGTTATGGGCATCACCTTTTGACCTCCCCCTCCCTCCCTCGACGCCTCTCTCCCTTGACACGAAGTGCTAACGCTGACGTGACTCTACGGATGATAGCTGACTGGCTTTCTCCCGACCTGGAAAAGCTATCATAGCTAAGATCACCTTGTTTGCGGTTGGTTGCCACTGGCGCAGCAAAAGCTCACGGGGCAAATTAACCTAGTGTGCTCCTGTTGACTCGATCACACTCCCGCCCGAGTTTTACCGTCCAAGCGTGTTCATCCGGCTACAACAAATACAGGGCATCACGGCCGCTACCCTGCCTCTGCCTTGTGCTTTAGCGCGTGCGCTGCCGTTGCAGCCACAACAAGAACAGGGTGTCACGGCCGCAACCACACCCCGCTGCTATTAGCCCTTTTCACGCGACGGTTGAGGCAAGATTTTCGGCGCTAACGTACTCGCGATCGAAGGCGCCCTCACGCCGCTGTAGCTCTAGGAACTCCACGAGGGCGGCCAGCATCTTGTTGTACTTGGCAGGGTACTTCCGTGACCCGGGCGCGATTCTCGGGCTGGTGATGGAAGCGTCGATAGCCTGAAAGAAGCGAAAAAAACAGCGGGTTTGGGGGGGGAGGAGGAGGGAGGGGCGTACTCTTATGTTTTGCATACCTTAGCGGTTAGACCATTGACAACGCGTCCCCGAGAGGACGGAGCGTTGTTTGCACAGGACCGATCACCGAAAGCCAATTTATATTTCCTACTTTGCCAAATGTGGCTAAAAAAAGCTTTCCCGACGTCGATTGGGGGGGG